GCGGCCAGCGTGGAGGCGGCAGCCGCGCGCAGGGATTTCTCCAGCTAGTCACTCCGGGATGGATTTTAAAACTGTTATCGAATGACACTAACTAGAGTTCAAAACATGCTGAGGAGTGGCCTCTCAATGTCTTCTGACCATGGGACAGAGTAGAATAACCTACCCAATCTGTATAATTATGTATAACCTACATAATCAGTGCAAACCGGGAATACTGACTCTATTCACTACCTTGGAATAACAACAAAAAATAATAAAATCCAGAACTGTCACTGCTCAGTAGCCAGAGGGTTCAGAAGCCCAATCAAGGAGCATGGCCAGAGCAATGCCTGCTGCAAGTCCACGTCATGCCTGCGTGCTGCGATGCCACCAAGCAAAAACTTTAGTGCAGATGGGGAGAAGAGCTTGGGAATGTGGTTTCTCAAGGCTCTGAATGCTCACTTATTGTATATTATTTTTAAAATAAATCTGTTGCCAGTATCAAGATTCTGGGAAGTCTGTCAAGCCTTAAGCATTTGGGGCTCACACTACTGTATTTTTATGCCACTTATTTCTTCTATAACTGACTGCTGCTCATCGTAGCCAGTTACCAGGTACTAGTTACTTCACAGGTACTAATCAACCGCATCACACCTTTTCTTGGGCAGTAAATTTCAGTATCTGAGTTTTAAAGGTGGAGAAAAACAAGAAAGGAAAGTGAATGGACCTGCCAAGGAGAGCAGAGTCATGCATAGGAGAGTTCAAAGCCAAGGTGTTCCTGGCAGATCCAAAGGGCTCCAGCTCGACCGCAGTTTGGTGCAACATGTGCCGCAGGGTGGGAGACAGAGGCTCAACTGCGTTTACGCAGCTCCACACTCCCTAAAGCAAAAGCCCAGAGCTGGGCAACTCTCCGGCTTCCGAGAGCTAGGCTGGAATTGGAAGCCGCACATCACCACAAGTGGATTCCTTCTCCCATCTACTACGTGTAGCAAAGACAGAAACAAGTGTAAACTGACCAGCCACACGTACCACTCCGAGTATCAGAGGGCAGATGAATGGTGGAAAGCAGAGCACACATCCAATGTTAAAATGCTTGCAGTACATAAATTCAAAGCGTTTCGTTTATGTGTCAATATATTGTCTAGGACAACAAAAAGAAACTAAACAAACAAACCTGTTCCATCAATAAGAGGATACTTCTTAATCAGTGATGTTCTTTACTTAAGGAAAAAGGTATATATAAATACATATATTTGTATTTATATATATACCTGTGTGTGTGTGTGTATATATTTGTGTATGCATACTCCAGGCACATGCATGGAAAAATAGTTATTCCCTAAGAAATCTGTGCTGCCTTTCTATTGTTAGCAGTGTAA